TTTTTAAATTTGGCAACCCTAGGTTTCAACCCAGGTCTCCCCACCTTTGGTCTCACATCTAACCACTATACCATGTATCTGCTACAATTACATGTACCGTAGCTCTTCCTCAGAGCAGTGGGGTTTTTTTTGTTTAAATCTTTTTATTGTTTTGTAAAATACAATACATATGACACATATTGGTTCTAGATTTCTACATATAGCAACTAAGATCATTACTAACCATTTGACAACTATCCACACACCATACAGCTCTAAACCTGCTAAACTATAAATATAACCATTTATGGTAAATCTGCTTAGCTGGGAGTATATCATTCGTTACCATATAGTCTAACACTGGGGCCCAGATCCTAACAAATTTGGTGTAAGTAGGAGTATCGCTGTTAACCGCTCTCTTCAGGGAGTCCGTAATTTTCGCCATTATAAACTGATCCCAGACTTTCTCTTGCCACATAGAGCAGTGGTTTTTAAACTTTTGACCTTCAGAAGAAGAGTTGGTTTTATAGCCTGCTCTTCACTACCCAAAGGAGTCTCAGAGCGGCTCACAATCACCTTCCCTTCCTCTGTGTCTGTCCAGAATTAAAAATTCCTGGCTATGGGCCTGTCAGATGCCCTGGGGCTAAGAGAGTTCTGAAAGAACTGCAACTGACCCAAGGTCACCCAGCAGGCTTCATGTGGAGGAGTAGGGAATCAAACCTGGATCTCCAGATAGGAGGCCGCTGCTCTTAACCATTACACCAAGCTGGCTTCAGGGGACCCTCTTCAGAAGAATTTATGTTGAGGAATAAGTTGCACATGGGGTGCTTGTCAGGTTTGTTGGGGTTCATTTTTTCATGAGTGCGTCCTAGAAGAAACTAAACAAAACTGCAGGTTCCAAGAATAGTTGAACAACTGCTTAGATTCACTGCTGTTTGGTACTATTTAAAAATATTGTTAGATGTATTCTTGAATTGTACAATGTGTGCATACATAACTTCCAAAGGATTAAAGAAAAATGGGGGGGGGGAGAGTCACGAAATGGCCCAGGCATGTAAGGACTAAAAACTATCTTGTTCAATCGGACCAAGATCTATCAAATCCATCACTCTGTTTCTAACAGCAGCCTGGCAAATGCCTCTGATTGTCTAGTAGTGGTGAACAGCCAGCTGAACTTTGAACTAGAGAGAAATACAATTTTAATGGCATTGATGAGAACAGACTTGCGTATTGAGACAAGGCTGAGTATTACCATAATTACATTGCCTTAATAAAACACAGTGATGTGTCAGTCCCTTGACATACAAAAAGGCGTTAATGGAATGCTATCATAACAAATAAGAGATTTTTAAGCACTCTGTACTACATCATGTGCTGGCTTCTCATGAGCCTGGTAAGCAGTAATTCAAGGGGAGCATGACATTCTAAGTGAATCGTGGGATCAATGCCAGGATTTACATATATATCTTTGCGTAACTGGTATGAAGATGACTGGTGTTTTGGGTTATTTTTTTAAAATCTACCTTGTTCTTTCCATTTCCCAGAAACATCGGTTAACTAACACCTCCTGATTCCAGTGTAAAAAGAACTGCCCTCAGAGTCTCAATTTTCTTTAGGCCATGTATTTAATTTTTTTTTAAAGTTCCCACTTTCAGGCCTAACAGCTACTTAGGAAGCATTACAGCAGAAGCTAAGGTGCTCTGTGGCCCTCCTGACCTTCCATGGGTCAAATATGAGATGTAGGGATGCCAGCCTCCAGGTGGGACCTGGGGAGCTCCCAGGATTACAGCCCATCTCCAGACAACAGAGATCAGTTCCACTAGGGAATATGGATGCTTTGGAGGGTGGACTCTATGGCACTGTGTACCCCACTTGAGGTCACTGTCCTCCTTAAACTCCACCCCCAAACCTCCAGGAGTTTCCCAACCTGGATCTGACAACTCTGCCCCCACCTCTGATCCTCTGCCGCCCGGTGGCCAAGGAGGACCTGGCAAAACGTCTGAACATAAGACTTGTCTTTATTGCTGAGTCAGGCCAGGATTCAGCTAACTCCACATTCAGTTTCTAACAGCTTGGGGCCATGCACTTGATGCTGGCTTGGACTGCTTTTTAACAGCGAAGTGGGGGAATCTTATATTTAGCCGTACCTGATGAGAGAAAATGGGAATCCTGATCCACACATGCAGAAGAACTGATGGCAAACAAACGGTAAAGACCTGAGGCTGTTGAATGGACTGCGCTGGATATGACGGTTCATGTTTCGGAATGCTCCGCTATGATAAATTTTCCTGCAGATGGAAAACCAGCAAAGGGGTTGGACTTTTCTTCCTCCTGGGCTAGTTTTCTATTAGCACGGAGTATTTGGGAGTTTTTTAAATGCAAAGGTGCCTTTTCTTCCTCCTGGGCTAGTTTTCTATTTTAAATGCAAAGGTGTGGTAAAAGCTAAACTTGCTTTATTTATTTATTTCCTTTCTCCCCAGCCAGGATCTGAAGCATCTTACATTGTTCTCCTCTGCTCCATTTTATCCTCACAACAGCCCTGTGAGGTAGGCTAGGCGAAGAGTATGTGACTTGCCCAAGGTTACCCAGCGAGCTTCCATGACAGAATGGGGATTCAAACCTGGATCTCCCAAATCCTAGTCCAACATTCAAAGCACTACACGACACTGGCGCTCTCTACATTTTCCACATGGAATGGGTACTGTGCATTCTGTCATCTCCTTGCCGCTTCATTCTATAACTATAGAATGTACAAACTAGGTACAGTATGTACCCTGGCTGACAACTCGTTTTTAACCGAGACTACAATTTGAACTGAAAAAGGACGGGAAGGCTCCGCTTACTGACTCCTTCCTGCTTGATTCAAGAGCTGGGTAAATCCCTTATTATACCATTCAGCCACGCAGGAAACTCCTCAGCTTCCCTTCAGCCCTGTGTGGATAGCAGTGAGGCTGTGTGGTATGCGTCTCACCTCACTCATCTCACCTTCTCAACGGGGCCAATGGGGATAAAGCAGCTCCTGTGCCTTGCTGCCTTTCAGCCATTGCTTTCCAGCACTCTTCTAACAGGATGAAACACAGTATGAGTCAGCAGACAGGCTGACTGCTCTCAGTTTCAGCCAATTTGCTACAATCTTCTGCAGGTCTCAGGAGATCTTGTAGATAAGTTTCTCTGGTTAATAAATACTGTATAGTTAAACACAGAAGTGGCCCCTGTTGCACAGTTCTCACAGCACAATCAACAGCCATGTTTGCTTAATCGTCTTCCCCATTCATTATTATTTATGGTATTTTTCTCCCTCCCTTCTTCCTCAGGGGGTATACAAGGCTCTCCCTTACTCTCCCACACAACAGATCTGTGAGGCAGGTTAGGCCAAGAGATACGGTTGCCAGTTCCAAGTTGGCAGATACCTGGGATATAGGGGGTTGAGCCTGAGGAGGGTGGGGTTTGGGAAGGGAATGGACCTCAGTGGGGCACAGTGCCATAGAGCCCGCTTTCCAAAGCAACCATTTTCTCCAGATGAACTGATTTATGTTGTGTGGAGATCAGTTGTAATCACAGAGGATCTCCAGCTACCACCTGGAAGTTGGCAATCCTACCAAGAGATGGCGAGCTTCAATGAAGATCTGAACTCAGCTCTTCCCAGGTTTCATATGGCACTTAACCACTACATTGGCTTCCGGGGTGAAAGTAACTTAAAATAACTTGTTGACTTTGAGGGGCAGGGGAGGTTGAAGCAGAAGATAGGAGGTGCCGCTTTCTTACTGGTACTTTGTACCATCCTGCACCAACTTCCTTTCACCCTTGACCGGCTCTCGTCCAGCTGTCTAAATCTAACATCAAGAGGCGTGTGGGTTGGTGGAACTGAATCCACTCTTTCTCCATCTTGCCTCTCTGCAGTGGGTCACCTCAGGCTCTTTTCTCCCAATTTGGTTGGTAAGACTGACTGCCTTGAGGTAAGCTGCAGATATAGGTCCATCTCTCATCCCTGGACCTCCTTTTGATGTGAAAATTAGAAACCCACAGCCCCACTTCAAATGTCCAAACATCAGGGCTGCCCCTGTTATAACTAGTTGGCTCTGAAGCACAGAAGCAGCAGTCTCTAAACAGACTAAGGCTTCCTTCTGTTATTGTTCACAGAGAGGAAATCAGCCAATGGCCAAACTGGAGGTAATGATAGCAAAGTTTGTTCATGTATCTTGTTCAGATATGAAGTGGTGGGTGTGAATGACTTTGTGTCTTAATAATAATTAACTGCTGTCAGATTGCAACTGACTTATGGTGACCTCTCAAAGGGTCTTTCAAGGCAAGAGACGAGCAGAAGTGGTTTGCCATTGCTTTCCTCTGCGGAGCAACCCAAGACGTTCTTGGTGGTCTCCTATCCAGGAATAAACTTTCCTGGGGTCAGAGAGAGCTGCTGAGATAAGGGAAAAGCCAAGAAGATCAGGAATCCTTGGGTGGTCCTTGCACTGGATCTAACTGTTGCACCATTTTTCACGTTCACTACTTTAGTCCCTCAAGGACTCGTATCATGTGAGTGCTGTTAGTCCAGCAAAGCTTGCCAGAACAGCTACAAGGGACAGAGCAAGCACATCCTAACAACATTAAGAATGTCCTTGTAACGTAGGTTTGCCATCTCCAGTTTGAGAAAACCTTGGAGATTTGGGGGAGGGGCCGGGGGAGAGGCTTCAGCAGGGATGTGATGCCAAAGAGCATGGGTCCCCAACCTTTCAGAGCCTGCAGGCAACTTTGGAATTCTGACAGAGTGGTGGGCGGAGTCACAAAATGGCTACTACAGGAGGCAGAGTCAGCCACACAATGGCTGCCACAGCTTGCTTTCAGTCAGTCAGTGAAGATCCTCATGCTATGGAGGCAACTTCTTTCAAAGCAACATTTTAAAAAAATCTACACAGGCAGTCAGAAGCCTTGTTGAACAAAAATCTCCTAATCTGCCTTACAGGGGTCCAGCAGATCAGGCCCCTCCGGTTCGATCGCCGAAAACAATTCATTGGTAGGTCTTCATGTCCGCATACTGCTACGAACTGTACTACGGGTCAGAAAAAGCCATCGGTCATGCCGATGCATGTAGACGTCTGCCGATCTGGGAACCGGACATTGACCAATCACCTGCCTGCGAAATCAGGGCCATCGAGGAACTTTCACAGCCACCGTTTCAGGCCTACGATGTCGCCTTGCATTCCGCAAGGGATCCCACGAATTCCTGGGTCCTCAACTGGGTGTGGAGAGGGTGGCCATCTGCCTGGCAGATAGGGTTGCCAAATGGATTTTGGCCGGGAGCGGGGGTCTCCCGGCCAACATCTAAATTGTGCGCACGCGTGTAGCGCGCGCGCGCGCTGCGTGTGCATCACCCGGAAGTGACGCCGCACGCTGGGGGTGGGGCCATGCCATTTGAGGGGGAAACTCTTTGTTTTCCCCTCAAATGGCGTGGCCCCGCCCCCAGCGTGCGACGTCACTTCCGGGTGGCGCGCACGCGAGGGTGGGGTTTCCCCCGGGCTCCGATTCCATGGGAGCGGGAATTGGGCCTTGAAAGCGGGGGGAAATCCGCCCCCCGGGGGGATTTGGGAACCCTACTGGCAGACCTAAGTTCCAAGTTTTCAAGTCACGTTAACACGAACTGTTGGTTCACAAGGGATGCCTGCTTTGAGGGAATTGCATGGCCATTCCCCTCCCAACGTCACCGCCAGGTGCTGGAGGCCCAATATGCCGCCAACCCTGCCAGGAGTGACTGCCTATGAATTGCAACGCCCCCCAGTCAACTATTGGGTTGGAGACAACTTGCAACGCTCTCCAGTCAACAATCAGGTCGGAGGCAGTAGTACCCCGACACCCCACACTGAGATCCTGCAGAACTAACACAGCTTACAGACCCTGAGAGTTCGAGCACTACGCTTCATTCCGCCAATGTCAGCGGAGACCCTGTCGTGACAGCGGGGGAACTCTAACTTAGGGGGGAAGGGTGTTATGTAGTTGCTTATGTGTTATGCGATGTAATCTAAACCGGGGCTTCAGGCACAAGCTCCATTGACTCTCAGGTATTCTAAACCCTGCAGTCGGATTGGTCGCTGTTGCGCAACAGACCAATCCGGAAAGACTCTGACTGGCGGCGGGAACAAATCCTATTGGTCCTAAGCTCTCTAACGTGATTGGACATTACTGTACTAGGGGGTGTGGCCTCGCTAGTTCAAAATGTATAAAGTTGAATTGTTCTATGAGTGTTGTTGCTGTGTTCTGAGCTGAATAAAGAAATCACTGTTTTTGGAAACGCTGCCTCATTCCCAGTATATAACAGTAACCCTACAGCTTGTAGAACTGGGGAGGGGTGGGAAAGTCTCCCTGTTTTTATTTCTGCAGAATTAGACTGTTCGTTTGAAAAATTCCGGTCACAGTTTTCTGCTACTGAAATCATTTCTCATTTTTAAAGTATCAGAAGCTAAAAGAGTGATTGTTATCAAAACAGATAACTACTTCAAATCTAGTAATATTTCATAACACCAAAGGTTCTATCACAATGCAAGCAATGTAAGATAAATCAGAACTTTTACGTAACACAGAGTGGAACAATAAACGCTTTTATTGATTTATTGTTTATAGGTGCCCTAATAAAAGGGCTGTTGAAAGTTGTACAGAATTAAACATTAATGGTAAGATATTTTCCTGAAAAGAGCCAAAGGATATTATTCATAAGGGAACACTCCTTGACCATTTATTACAACCCAGAAGCAGAGTCATTAAAAAACAACAACTGGAAGTTCAGTCATCATCATTTGAGCCATAACTTGGTTGGTTTATGAAATGGTTTTTGCAGGGTAATATCCAGCATACAATGCCTTCACATTTGTACAACTTATACCTGCAGAGGTTCTGTGCACAGGATGTGAGTTAGGGATGCCAGCCTCCAGGTGGGACCTGGGAATCCTCTGGAATTACAGCTCGACTCCAGACTACAAAGGCCAGTGTTCCCCTGGAGAAAATGGATGCTTTGGAAGGGGACTCTATGGCATTTTACCCCACTGAGGTCCCAGGCTCTTTCCCCAAATCTCCAGGATAGACCCAACCTGGACCTGGCAACCCTAGCATGTGTCTGGAACCTGGAAGGTTGAGCAGCTAAAACATAGAACAAAATATGTCTATTTATTGCACCCTAGATGTGATCGACATGTGGGGGACACAGGTCAGACCTGCTGCCACAGATCTGATCTCCTCCTCACTGGCGACGTGCCCCTGCTTTTATGGGGACATAGGGTTGCCAACTGAAAGTGGCTGCTTTGGAGGGTGGACTTTATGACATCATACCCTGTGAGGTCACTTCCTTCTCCAAACTTTGTTGCCCCAAGGCTCCAGCCCCAAACCTCCAGGAACTTCCCAACCTAGAATTGGCAGTCGTAGCACAAGATTACTGTGAGTCAGGTCTCATGAAAGCATTACGCTGGAAAAGATTATCCAAACCACTGTTCCTCCAGAGCAAAGCACGGGCAGGGCCACCGAGAGTGCAGGAACAGGGAGCCAAAACCCCACAAGTCTCCATGGGCCCCCCGTTATGTTTGCCAATCTCCAGGTGGTGGCTGGAGATCTCCCGATATTACAACTGGCTGGTGGACTCTATGGCACTGTACCCCACTGAAGTCCCTCCCCTCCCCAAACCCCGCCCTCCTCAGGCTCCACCCCCCAAAAAATTCTCCAGGTATTTCCCAGCCTAGAGCTGGCAACCCTAGGGCCCAGGGCACTGGATAAATCGTGTAGTTTGTTCTCATACAATGTCTGAATTGGGTCCTGCCGATGCGAGGGGGTTTTGGGAGTGGAGTAGGGTTGCTAGGGTTGCACCTGGAGACTTTGGGGGTGGATCCGGGAGAGGGCAGAGTTTGGGGAGGGGAGGGGCCTCAGCAGGGTACTATGCCACAGAGTCCACCCTTCAAAGCAGCCATTTTCCCCAGGAGAGCTGATCTCTGTCAGCTGGAGATCAGTTGTAATAGCAGGAGATCTCCAGGCCCCACCTGGAGGCTGGCAACCCTAGAGTGGAGCCTGAGGACAGCAGAGTTTGAGGAGAGGAGAGACTTCAGTGTGGTATAATGCCAGAGAGTCCACCTTCCGAAGCAGCCATTTTCTCCAGGTGAACTGATCTCTGTTAGGAAATCTCCAGTCACCACCTGGAGGTTGGCAACCCTGAATGGGGAGCGCACCCCCCCCCAAAAAAAGGTGGTCTTTCCCCAGGATATCATGGTGGCTTTTAGAAGCTCTGACTGCTGCCAACAGGAAAGCAGGTCCTGGTGGAACCATTAGACGGAACACCTCACCCAATATGGCTTCTTCCCAAGTAAACTTTCACATCACCCCCTACCGACAGTGGCCAACTGTTTCATAATTTTAGGCCTGCTTTGCACTCAGTGACTTTCAGCTTTGCTCTGAATTAGCAGAAGGGCAGCCGAAACCATCATGGGAGACTGTAGGAAGTTCATGCAAGACAGAATTACATCACACTCACAGGCAGGCCGTGTCTCACTAGAGCCAGGGATAAATGACTCTGGAATTGGACTGATTGCCAGATAATTATGGTTATGGCAAAAAGCACTGAATGTGTCATCTGAAGATCATTTTGCAGATTTTGCAACACAGACTTTCGCAGGGCCGAGAAATGGATGCCTCTGAATCTGAAGAGGAAAACCCCACAGGAAACATTTCAAATGGGATCTGAATATCAAGTATTTACTATCTTGCTGTGATGCCCCCTTAAATTTCCTATTTGTAAGCTAAGTGCTTATAAATCTACCATTATCCCTCAGAGTGTAACAAGTCCATGAAAATATTTTTATGAGACATTTTATTTTATGAGTAATTTTATTACCATAGTCACAAGCCCTCAAAGACACTAAACACAGACTCGGTGGAACAAGAGCCAAGGACAAATCAATACTGTCTTATGCAACAATATTTTACTACTAAAATAGAAAGAGCAGATAACATGAACTGTTGTACACTTAAGATATATGTTAGCACTTACATTTCTATCCTGCCCTTCCTTTGAGGAACTTAAGGCAGCATGTATGGTATGCCTAGGCTTGCCAGCCTTCAGGTGAGGCCCGGAGAGCTTCCTGAACTAGAGCTACAGAGATCAGTTCCCCTGGAGAAAATGTCTGCTTCAGAGGGTGGAGTTTATAGTCTCTCTCTACCGCAAATCCTGAACTAGGGATGTCAGCCTCCAGGTGGGACCTGGGGATCCCACAGAATTAGAAGCTCCTCTCCAGACTACAGGGATGAGTTCCTCTGGAGAAAATGGATGCTCAGTACCCCACTGAGGTACCTGTCCTCCCCAGGGACCTCCATCTCCAAATCTACAGGAGTTTCCTAATGGGGCTCTGGCAACCACCCTCCATGCCACACTGGTGGCCGGGGGAGGGGGGACATGGCAACCCTAAATCCCTCGCTCCTCAGGGCCCCCCCTTTTTCTAGCAACTTCCCAACACAGAGAACCCCATGCTCCTCAGGTTCCCCCCACCCAAATCTCTAGGAACTTCCCAATGCAGAGAATTTCCCAACACATCCCTAAGTGTGTCACTCCTTATTTCATCTTCACAACAACCCTGAAAAGTAGGTTAGGCTGAGGGGGTGGGACCAATGCAGGGAGCAGGAACTTAATGTGTGTAAGTATTTGACCCCTGGTCTCCCTGCCTGTCCAGGACTCTAACCACTACATCACACTGCTATATTCAACCTTGATTGCTGTGGGTTATTTGGAGAAGGCGGGGCTAGGGCTGCCAAGTCCCCCCGGGGGGGGTTGGCTTTCCCCCTCGCTTTGGAGGCCCGATTTCCGCCGCCGCGGAATCGGGCCCCGGGGGAAACCCCACGTCAGCCGGAGATGACATGATGGCGCCGGGCACGCTGGGGGCGGGGCCACAGCCATTTGAGGGGGAAACTCTATGTGGAATTGATGCAGCTTCTTTTAGTGCACGTTTATGTTGTGCCTAAACACTACGTAACACAGGTCGCTTCAGCATGGATGGTTTTCTCTGCATTAACTTCCAAACTAGACAGCTCTTTTTTTTCTTTTTTCTTTTTGCTTCTAGGTTTTCTCCATCCTCAATACATTCTTTCCAAAACCTGCTTTATGATGATCTTTTTTTGAAAGAGCGCAATACAAGTGCATTAGCACACTGTATGGGAGGAATGGTGCACATTTCCTTGCCTTGACAAGGTCTCACCCACAGTGGTGTCATTTTCTCATGGTCAGCCTCTCACAGGTACCCGTCTCCAAACTTTTTTTTTTTAACCGCTGCATTACCAGAGAGATTAGAAGGTTGTTTTTTAATACACTATTTTCTATAAAACTATAGTGCTTTAGTGTTCTAGCACTGTGACAGTTGATTGCTTCATACCTGTCTCAGCTTTTAATAGAACTGTTATAGCACCATAGTGTGTGTGTGAACAAAAAAAAGGAAGAGGGAGATGAATTGCCCAGGTGGCAGTGACAGCTATGCCCTCTGAGAGCTAATGTAGAGTCGCTGTCAAGTGCGTATGGAAGGGAAACGTCAGGCCAAAAATGGAGAAAAAGCAAACAGAAAACTCCCATGCACAGAAGTTGCGCTACCATTGGGCATGCCTATGCTTTGGCAGCCGCAATGAGGGCAATGAGGAGAATCCTCTCCGTGGGGAAGCAGCCGTGGTCTGCTGTTCGTTCAACACACTGCAGTGGCTGAGGTATATTTTGAACTGTTGATAACATAAGTTAATGTCTTTAACCTAAAGAACTAATACCACCTTTGGTTTTAAATTACTGAAAAGCACACTATGACAGAGTAAACGACTACTGCAGATGGAGCAGAGCCTTCAGTGATATGCCATATTGGAGGCAAAGGGCTCACATGGTGATCTGTGAGGTGAGGTGAAGATGGAATACTGTGAAATACTGGAGGTTATGCGAAGACCCATGGCTGGAATCACAGTTCCTTATTAAAGACCTCTTTGGCCTCTGGAGGCCAGAGAGTGCCCCTCAGGAGACAAGATTCAGTCCAGGGATTTATACTTCCCAATCACTATTTTGGAACAGAGAGTTGTCAAAGTCTTGAGCAATTCTGATTTCATTATCTAAGATATGAGCCATATACAGTGGTGTTTGTTATTGTTTTTTTTTTTTTAAATGCCAGTACTCATATATAAGCTTGTGCTGATTTCCACCAATTCCCCTCGTAGGACTTGGCCAAGCCCCTCGAAGGTGCTGGTATTCTGTCCCGTCCTTGGCAATAACATTCGTTTTAGAAGCATGTTGTGAATCTATCTTGTTTGGCTCCCAGCATATTTACATTTCCAGGTCAGGCAGTTAAATAAGTTGCTTCAGTATTATTCAGAAGCTACACTTGAGATCTCATCCAGTTTTATCAGTCATCTGGCAGTGGTTCCCTGTAGGTTATTTGAATAGAATTGCAACAGCTTTCTTTCTTTCTTTCTTTCTTTCTTTCTTTCTTTCTTTCTTTCTTTCTTTCTTTCTTTCTTTCTTTCTTTCTTTCTTTCTTTCTTTCCATTGCCACTGTAAACAAATGTTCTTTAAGGGAATTTGGGTGAGGTGGTAATGTTTATGTTGTTGTTGAAACATAAGGGACCAACTGTAGTATTACATCCAACCGCAAAAATGTTGGCACAACAGTTCTAAGAAGTGCCAAAAAACTGGGTTTGGAGTTGCGTGATTCCCTCCCCCCCACCCCGCCCTTGGGCCTGGTTACCTCAAGCAGTTACCACAAGCAGTTTCATTTGGGGGGTGGGGGGTCTTTTAATTCAAATCCTAAGAAACAAGCAGAAGAAAGTCATATTTTACTTAGTGGGACTTATTCGCGGGGAAGTGTTCTCAGGATCGCAGCCAAAGTCACCAGGAAAGGGGGTATGGCTCAGCCATCACCTACAGAACTGGCACGCAGAAGAGCCAAGGTCCACACTGTGGCATAGAGTTCCAAAGGGGCCTGGAGACCTCTCTGAGCTAGAACGGATCTTCAGGCACCAGAGTTCACGTCTCCTGGAGAAAACAGCTGCTTTAGAGGGTGGACTCTGTGACATTATACCCCACCGAGGTCCCTCCCCTCCCCAACCCCTGCCCTCCCAGGCTCCACCTGAAAATCTTCAGGAATTTTCCAGTCTGGAGATGGCAACCTTGCTGGCCCCTTAAGTTACTGGAGATAGGGGGTGCTGGGAAAGGCCTGAGATCCTGTTGGAGTACATAATACTGAACTTTACACAGCAGCTTTATATGCTCAAGTCCTGCGACAGACATTTAAGCATGGTAGATGCATTGTGGCCCTGACCTGGATAGCCCAGGCTAGCCTGATCTCATCAGATCTCAGAAGCTAAGCAGGTCTTGGCTAGTATGTGGATGGGAGACCTCCAAGGAATAGCAAGGCCACAACACAGAGACAGGCAATGGCAAGCCACCTCTGAACGTCTTTTGCCTTGAAAACCCTACAGGGTCGCCATAAGTCAGCTGTGACTTGACAGCACTTTCCACCACCACCACCAAATTCTGCCCACCTACCCCATCCCCTGCATTCAACCCTAGTGCTGGGGGCCAAGAAGACACACATTCAGGAAAGAACACTTTGTGTGGTCAGTATGGAAATAATGTACCTTTTCAAGTGCCTTCCAGTGTCCAGAATGTCCTGCCCTGCCCGTGGACAGCTAGCATAAAAAGAAAGTGCAACTTTGCCTTATCCTTAAAAAAAAAAAAATTCGTCTAAACTTTGCCTTATCCTTGATGGGCTTGTTCTCTTCCTGCAAGGAGTTTTTCTCCCAAGGGAGAGCACTCAGACAGGCGATCCCTCGCCTGCCTGCCAAAGTAGATAACCCCTCCCCATCATGCCACAGGCTGTCTCTTAATGTATTGACCAGTTCCAATTTTGTCTGATTTTCAGTTTCTCACGCTTCCTTGTCAGGACTTCTTCGTTCCCCCTGTGATGTCTGAAATGGAGGAGCTAAGTGATGACGCCATGCTTCCCCCCAGGGCACTCCAGAATGATGTCCCTGCGCTCCTTGCTCACCTCTCCCTGCACAGTGACCCTCAGGGAGGTTGTGTGTCCAGGATCCAAAGGAGCTGCCTTGTCCCCAAGATGCACGCTGACATCTCATTGGTCTCCTCCTGCAGTTCCTACAATCCCTTGACTGCTGCTGGCTCCTTCTTTTCCCTCCCACAATAGCAGCAGCAGATGAGGACTCTCTTCCCCCCCTTTGTCTGTTCCTGACCAGGCAAAGCGGTGGCACCAAGGAGATGCTGGGAAGGGAATGTTCCTTCACCAGTTGGTGAACCAAATGTGCTGCCCCAGGCAACTGCTTAGGGTTGCCTAGCAGCCATGCCACCCTTGCAAACATGTTAGGGGTTGTCTGTACAAGCAGACTTAAGAAACCAATTTGGCTGGGCAAAAAAAGCCTTTGTATCTTAGCTGAAACACTGCTTATCCCCCTTGGAAGGCACAAGTTTAGCCTGGTATCAACGGGATAATTTTGCACTGGAAACAATTCAAGTAGTATGAACATTTTGTAATAATAAGGTCTACAGGATGGCATTCAGTTTATATGTGGAACAATTTGTTCTTTGTAACCATCTGGGCATGCCATTTCTTTGGCTTTTTCATTCTCTGGGTAGTGACCATACTGCATAGCAAGAGAAAGTGTAGATCTCCACACCATATTCCAAAGCAGAATTAGCCACGCTGCGGTCCATTTCATCTTGTACTTGCCTTTGTGTTGGATTATGACCCTGAATATCAAAATATAAGGCCCTGACCTGGGTAGCGCAGGCAGGCCCAATCTCATCAGATCTCAGAAGCTAAGCAGAAATGACCCTGGCAAGTATTTGGATGGGAGACCTCCAAAGAACACCAGGATCGGGAGGCAGAGACAGGCTATCAAGCCACTTCTTTGAATGTCCTCCATGCTCCAGTAAGAGTTGCAGAGATCTCCATGACTTCCAGGCACAGGCACGCACACACGAACATGAATGCAAAATTACAAAAAAAAAATATCAATATATACGCACCTTATACCAGCAAAACCATGAGTTTGATTGTTAAGAGATTTTAATTCCTTAATCCACATGCTAATTATTGGGTGAGGTAATTTACAAACAGCCCTGACTTGGATAGCCCAATTTCGTCAGATCTTGGAAATTAAGCAAGGTCGGCCCTGGACAGTTTTTGGATGGGCCATAAGGTGGGAGCAGGCAATGGCGAAGCATTTCTGAACATATCTTGCCTTGAAAACTGTATGGGGTCACCATGCGCCAGCTGTGACTTGACAGTACTCTCCACCATCACCAAGTTACAAACAAGTCTAGTTGACCATATATATATATATATAGTCTGGGTTGGAAAATACCTGGAGACTTTGGGGGGGGGTGGATCCAGGAGAGTTAAGGTTGCCAAGTGTTACCTATATCCGGAGCGGGGGACTCCTGGCTTGCTCTGGGAGTGCGCGCGCACGTCACCCGGAAGTGACATGACGATGCCGGGCACGTTGGGGGCGGGGCCACGACCATCCGAAGGAAAAACATAGAGTTTTCCCTCGGATGACCGTGGCCCTGCCCCCAGCGTGCCCCGCGTCGTCACGTCACTTCTGGGTGACGTGCACGTCGAGGTGGGGTTCCCCCGGGGCTCGATCCGCCGCCGGCGGGGAACGGGCCTCTGGGGTGGGGGTTTCCCCGCTGCCCGGGGGGACTTGGCAAGCCTAAGGAGAGGGTAGCATTTGGGGAGGGGAGGGGCCTCAGCATGGTGCAATGCCACAGAGTCCAACCTTCAAAGCAGCCATTTTCTCCAGGGGAGCTGATCTCTGTCAGCGGGGGATCAGTTGTAAAAGCGGGAGATCTCCAGGCCCCACCTGGAGGCTGGCAACCCTATGCTAAACTCTGAGAGTTTTGATTAATTCTGTATAAATGGGTGAATAATCCCAAGAGCTGAACAGGTCAAAAGATGCCCCTTGCTGCATTCTTTAGGGCAGGCCCAATCTGTTATACTATGAATGCAAAGTTATGTAAACATGGGAGGGCTGAGAACATGCCTAAACTTATTCTCTGATGTGGATGTGTACAGGAAAAAGGAGTACAGGCAGCTAAATAAATGTTATCTCAAAGCCATGATCTCAGGGCCGCCTTTGTCCTAGTAACATTGTAAATATTTGGCACTTGCATAATGAATGTGCAGTACTGGCATAATAATACTCTTGGTGCAGCTGACATGATTTGCATAGCATCTATTAATGGTTGATTTGCTTATCTCATTAGAAAGGATTTCCAAAGACATCACAGGAATGACTGGCACCCTCTTAATTAGCTGTATAAGGCAGTGTTTCTCAAAGGGCCCCATTTTTAAGCTTACTGTGTTTTTCAGAAGCCCCTTGACCAAGTAATTGCATACTGTTCCCCACCCCACTCCAAACAAGCAGGAATCGCAAGTCTGTTTTAACAACAAACAAATGCATACCTGAGTTTTCTGTGTGTTTTGTAGGCGGGGGGGGGGGGGAAGCGAGGGATTTACAAGGACTTGCAGGGGAGAGGGAACACCACTCATCCCTTGCTGGCTTCCACTTTTCCATCCTATCACTTCCTAGGTCTTCCCCCACCTCGTAACCCCTGACTCCTCTTTCCTTCCCATTCTGCCTTCAGTATATTCAACACCATTAAACCACGGAAATCTTGCTGTGTATTCCTTAGATCTCAGCCAGCATTTGGGCTCTTGACAGGAAGCCCCAAAATGGCTGATGAGATCTTGTGGTTGCTGGGTTGGCATTTTAAGTTGTGATTATCTGTGCAGGGTCTATACATTACTCCGATAATTTTTTTTGGGGGGGGGTTACACCCTCTTTTTAAGGTTTTGGATTTTTCTGAAAACCCGGGGTTTTTCCCTGGCTTGCAAAAGCAGTTCTTCTACCAATGGGTGACCCATTCGACAGATTTTTTTTATCTGTACAGTGGGACCATCAGGGCTCTAGTCGGGGGGGAGCTCTCAGGTACGGAGCTCCGGAAGAGAACCTCTAGGGGGCGGGGCGGTCACGTGGTGAAGCCCCGCCCCCTTCTTTACCCCGCCCTCTGCTTCGATCCTCATTCCGTTTGGGAATGAGGATGAAGCAGGAGGGTAAGTAGCCGGGCCTTCTGACACACTTCCAGTGATGTCAGGGGGTGTGGCCTTCTGTCACTTCCGGTGATGTCAGGGGGCGTGGCATATGCAAATAAGTTATGCTAATGAGTTATGCTAATGAGCTCCGGCAGCTCTTTTTCTACAACAAGACCCCTGGGGACCATCATGGGAATTAGGTATATGACAAGCAGGGAACCTGCAAGGACTTGCAAAGGAGATTTCATTTTCCACTCCCCC